ACAGTGCCTGGCTCATAGTGGCACTGGCACTCAATAAATGCAGGCCTCCTTCCTTCTTTCCTCCTTCCTGCCCTCCATAGCAATGTTTTTTAGTGGAACCCTTTTCTTTTATGTTCTGGGGCAAGACACTCTTCTATGCCATATTATAATGGTGTTCCACTGTGATTAAACACAACAACTTTGTATATGAGGTTCTCCTCCCCACTCTTCTTTTCCAATGCCCTCTCTTCCTTGTTCATGAAACTTTTCACTGTTGTCCCTAGCGCAGAGGACAATGATTCATTTGTGGGAGCTCAACAAGTGAGTCTTTGGAATATTAATTCAACTACTCCTCCTTCTTGCAGTCTTCCGATCTTTTAGATTTTTAGCCCCTTGTGTCTTTTTTCTTCCCAGAGGATCCCTCTTTATCTTTCAGTTCAATTTACTTTTTTTCTTTAACCAATAGCTTTTAAGCATGAGACAAAAGATCTTACTATTTAAGTGTTTTCTACATCACTGCGTTTATTTACCTTTCTTGTGTCTCCATTGTTTGGGTATCTGCAAGTCAAATATTCTGCTTCTCTTTTTCTTTCCTTCCCATCATCTAAAAATGATTAGGCTTAATTTTATAGAAAGATTACTTTGGGTGGTAGACTAAGCTCTTTCATTTTTTTAGAATGTAGTATTCCATTCACTTCTCCAATGTCTCATGACTGAGGAGTAATCCTGGGTTATTTGAATATGGTGTTCCTTCACATTTTAAAGATCTTTCTCCTGAAGGCTTTTGCAATTTATTATTGTTGAAATTTACTTGTTCACAGTGTTTTGGCCTCAGTCTTCAAACATTCTTCCTTGTGTTTTTTATGAGCCTCTAACTGCTGGTTTACCTGCTTCTAAGGGTTTCACTTAGATTTCTCTCTTGGCCTTTTGGTCTTTTTCAGCCTCTCATATTCCCAGTCACTTGTTTCCGGTTTTCCTCCAACTTTTCAATCCCTCCCCCTTCTTCTGCTGCAGAGTTGCCCAAGACTGGGAGTTCTTAGTCTCTATGCCTTGGAAGTAGAGGGAGGCCCAGCCTCAGGACAAACTCCAGAGGTGAAGGTTTTGTCCCTGCTAACCTGTAACTCTATATTATCCAAGTCTTTCATCTACCCTTACCCAATTGATTTACTTGGGGATCATGCTAAGTCACTGACATGGGAGACTGGCAGACATTTCCCCATAACCAGACCCTGAAGCACAGGCCTACAATACTATTTGCATTGTTTGCACCCAGCATGTTGGGTAGATTGGGGAGATGCCGAGCTCTATGACTTTATGTTCTCTGATGCTATTATCTTTATATGACATTTGTCTTATGGTTTAAGCTACATACTCAATATCTAGCACATAATCCCCCCCCCTTTTTTTTGAGGCTCTGGGTTTGGAGAAGTTTATAGAAAATAAATATTTCAACACAATGCCAGTAATATTCCAACCTACTCCTGGATATATGAGTCCTCTTTACTGTACAGCACACTTTTAAAGTGATAATGCACTGCTGGAGGAGAGGTTATGCTGGGGAACGGGGTTTCCACTTATGTCATTCCTTCAGCAGCCAGCTCTGTCACTGGACTGGTTTGGTGTCTCACTCTCTTCTTCTTCCTGCTTCTCTTAATCCAGGAAGCATGTCCCATATGAACCTCAGACTGTAAGATCTTAAATACCTGTACTGCCTTATTGCCAGACAAAGAATACAGGTGTAGTGAATGAGAAAGCAAGTGATATCAGGGCCTGAATATCACTGGCAAAAAATTCAGGCCAAAAATCTCATCACCCTCTCATGCTTACCTCCACCCCAACAAAGAATGGTGTATGCTTGATGATACATTAGAAGATAAGTGCAAAATGCAAATAAACTAAACTTACTAAAATAACATTAGTAACTAAGTAAATTATTAATAGTTGAGGTAAAGAATGTTATCAATAGCCACAAATTAACGAATAAGATATTGGTATTTTCTGAATAATTAGGGCAAATGAGATGGGGAGAATCAAGGAAAAAAACTCAGAACTAGAAAGGATCATAAGAACTCAAAGATCATAAGATCCAAGACTATCATTTATCAGAATATAAATGGTATTCCCTTTGACCCAACAATAGCACTTCTAGGGCTGTATCCCAAAGAGATCATACAAATGGGAAAAGGACCCACATGTACAAAAATATTTATAGCAGCTCTTTCTATGGTGGCAAAGAATTGGAAATTGAGGGGATGCTCATCAGCTGGGGAATGGCTGAACAAGTTGTGAAAAGTTGTGAATGTAATGGAATATTATTGTGCTATAACAAATGATGAGCAGGTGGACTTCAGAAAAACCTGGAAAGAACTGTATGGACTGATGCTTAGTGAAGTGGGCAGAACCAGGAGAACGTTCTACACAGTAACAGCCACATTGTGAGATGACTAACTTGGATAGACCTAGCCCTTCTCAGCAATGCAAAGATCTCCAAAAGTCTCATGATGGAAAATGCTATCCACATCCAGAGAAAGAACCATGGAGTTTGAATGCAGATTGAAGCATACTATTTGCTCTTTTTTTTTTCCTTCTGTTTTGTTTTGTTTCCCCTTTCTTGTGGTTCCTCCTATTGGTTCTAATTCTTCCTTACAACATGACTACTGTGAAAATATGTTTAATAGGAATGTATATGTAGAGCCTATATCAGATTGCACACCGTCCTGGGGAAGGAGGCAGGGAGGGACTGGGAGAAAAATTTAAAACTTAAAAGCTTATGGAAGCGACTGTTGATAAATCAAAATAAATTAATTCAAAAAAAGAACATAAACAGTAGTTTCAGCCTAAGAGCACCAGGAAAGTACAGACTACAACACTTATGTTATAGATCAATGATGGTTTAAATCAAGGTTTCTTCACCTTTTCTGTACTATGGACCCCTCTGGCAGTCTGGTGAAACCCTTCTCAAAATAACGTTAGTGCTTATTGTCACAGTCTTTGAGAAACCATCATCATTATGAAGTGTGTCACAGTAGGATTTTAGGGGAGTTATTGACCACAAAATCTGTTTGTCCCATTTACTGTTTTTCCATTTAAGCCAAGGTTTCTTAACCAAGGGTTCATGAACTTGTTTTTTTTTAAATTAATTTATTTTGATTTATCATCAATCACTTCCATAAGCTTTTGAGTTTTAAATTTTTTCCCCCTCTCTCCCCAAAGTGTCATGTAGTCTGATATAGGCTATACATATACAATCCTATTAAACATATTTTCACATTAGTGATGTGTTGTAAGGAAGAATTAGAACCAATAGGAGGAACCACCAGAAAGAGGAAACAAAACATGAGAAGAAAAAAAATAGCAAATAGTATGCTTCGATCTGCATTCAAACTCCATAGTTCTTTCTTTGGATGTGGATCACATTTTCCATCATGAGGCCCCTGGAGATGTCTTAGATCCTTATATTGCTGAGAAGGGTTAAATCTATCAATATTAGTCATTGCACAACGTGGCTGTTACTGTGTACAATGTTCTCCTGGTTCTGCTCATTTCACTCAGCATCAGACCATACAAGTCTTTCCAGGTTTTTCTGAAGTCTGCCTGCTCATCATTTCTTATAGCACAATAGTATTCCATTACATTCATAACATGAACTTGTTTTTTAAAAAATACTTTGATAGCTGTATTTTAATATGATTGGTTTCCTTTATAACCCTATAATTATGCCTATATGTGTGTGAATTTTATTTTATGCAAGCCTTACCAAGCTAAAAAAAATGTTTCAAGCAGTCTCAATGACAGATTGTTTTCTGAAGACTAATTTAACTAACTTAGAAGAGGGTTCTTTATCAACTTGCCAAACACAGCATTGATTTTCTAATGATAACTCTTGAAAACCAAGTTACAGAGTTGTAATCTGTGTTGGTAGTAGAAGTATCCACATATCACTGAAATTACAGACCTTTGAAGTACTGAAGTTGTTAAAATTAAAAAAAAAAAAAACAAAAAAAAAAGGATTTTGAGGGAAAACTGTCCTATATATTCTAGACTAGGTAACTAGGATAGGAAAGGGAACCAGGGCATATATATGGGTATATGTATATATATACCCACATAGACACATAGTACATAGATATATTCTGTGTGAAAAAAAAAATGCAGTCAGTAAGAAGAACCCTTTCAAAAGATAAACAAAGCAACAGGTTTTTAGTCACTAGCTGTCTATGTAAAACCAGGAGATTCTCTTGGCCTCATGACTCCAGATACAAAATTTCCTGGAGAATAATAAACAGATGATAAAAACAGAATTCTGGCTCAGTTTTTTTCTTTCATAAAAGTATTTCTTATTCCTCCAAGGATATAAGGATGACTACAGGGTCTAAACAATAGAATAGAACCACACGTAAAGGTGATGTTCTACTGAAATATTCAGCTAGATAGGTCAAGTGGCCTCCCAAAGTACCTGCAATGCCCAAGGACAGCAATATAGACACTAGATAACATTATCTGAATCTAATCAACTTAAGGCATTAACAGGACTTATTAGTGCTCAAAATCCAAAGCAATTTACTCCTTTAAAGCAGATTGAGTATAGATTTGAGTATGACTCTAATCCCTATTAAGCCCCACTGATGGCTTTGGGAAGAAAAAAATACTCTTATTAGTTCACTATCAATATGTCAGGCATACTTGTTTTTAGCTTGAACCTTTATATCATCAGCCAGAAAGTCAATGATTCAAGGGATAAAATGACTCAAAAGATTTGAAATTACTAACTAATGGACACATTGGAAGGAGGGTCAAAGGTGTCATGTACAAAGCACTTTTGCCTCCCAGTTTCCCACCTCATCAATGTTCTTGTTGCTGCCACTGACACTAAGAGCAGGAGTGGACAGAGCAGGAAAGACAGGCAGGAAACTCATGGCTAAATGCAGATGACTTTGACATGGGAAGCCACAGCAACGTAGAAAGAAAATGGAGACACAAAAAATGAAACAGGGAGCAAGCCAGGATAGCCATCATCTCACCAGGTGGGAACCGCCGCAAAGACCGTCTCACATCTAGAAGTACTTGCTGGTAGTCCTTGCTATCTTCCCGTAGAGTCTTCTCTGAGAGAATAAAAAGGACAGCAATATTTCATAACATTATTTTGTTCCCTTCTTGGTCTTTAAAGCCCAACTCAAAATCCATCCTATTCCAAGGTGTCTTCCTTGAAGCCCCTTGGTTGGTAACCTTTCCCCTCAGATTTCACAGACCTTTTTGTTTCAAACCTCTCTAATATACTTACCATGTAATACCTGTTTAGCATAACTACCTGTCCGTGGCATTGTATCCCCTTAAACTGTAAAATCCTTGGGGGTGGAACTGTGTTGTATCTAACCTATGTACCACCGCAATCTAGGCACGATGCTTTGCACACAATAGGTGCTTATTACAATTGTACTGTAAAGAATCCTAGAGTTGGAAGTATTCTCATAAATCTATTCCAACCCCTACCTGAGGAGTCATTCCATACTATAGCAACCCTGACAAGTGGTCTGCTTGAATTGCTGTAATGACAGGGTACTCACTACCTCAATAAGCCAGCTCATTCTCACTGTGAACATTTCTTCATCAATGAAAAAAATTTCTTCTGAAACCAAATACAGTCAGGTATAAAACAATCTAGAATAGAACCAAAGGCCTATCTGTAGGGACAGAAATATACTGACTTGCTTCTCAAAATAGGACATAGCTCAGGTCATGTCTTTGGCAGAATTTCTGATTTTGTAGTCCAACACATCTCTACCATTCAAACCTAGTTCTACTCATTTCCATCAAATTAAAGTTATCAATAAAGGGAGAAAGTACACAGAGTTAATCTCACCTGTCTAGTACTCCTTGGGTTTTAAAGAGTTATTATCTTTTTTCAAAAAAGGCCTAGAAAGTATTTTGAATATCACAGAAATAGGTATCATATAAATTTTTTTTTAAAAGTTCTTTTTTCCTACCTCATCAGTAAGAGTAGACAATCAAGGCATTGCAGAATGAAGGAGAATATCCCCACGTATTTTGCTGATAAACTCAGAGCAATACAAGAGTAGTCAGCTCTCTAACCAGCTACAATGAGTGTGCAACCACACTTTCACTTGCAATTAGTGCCTCCACATATATACAAGAACTCATCTTACGATTCAGGATGAGAATTCTCAATCTGACTGGTTAGGAAATATCTTCACTACAAACACTAACAGCTCAGGGTAGGAGATTCCAAGGTGTACAGAATGTAAAGAAGCTAAGGTCCCTCCCGAGAAATAGTTTAATGTCTTGAAAACCATCTGTCATAAGAGCAGATCAGAAAGAAAGTGTGAGGTAGCAGAAGACAGTGAATTTTAAGTCAGTGGAACTGGGTTTGAATTCTGGTTCTAATTAGTACCTCTGTGATCTAAGTTACTCAGCCTCTCTAGCTCCTCATTTTTAAAAGAAGGAAATTGGGTAAGATGATTTCTAAAGCATTCCTGTAGCTCTAAATCCTATTATGCTACAGTAATGGCGTGAGGCATACAGAGTTTTCTTCTTATTTTGCCATCTATTTTTATATCAGGCATGTATCCTAAGTAACTGGCACATAACAGTTTATGAAATCTGGGTAAGAGCAGTTTAGCTGGAAGAAATGTGGAACAATTGTGCCACTTTTTACCACAAGAACTACCTAGGGTCAAAAAAGGTACCATGCATACACATGGATGCTTTTTAAATGAACCGTTGGTGAACTGAAAAGAGCAAGGAAGGAGAGAAGGAAAAAAAAGGAGACATGATAGGCAGGAGATTCATACTTAAGGTAGGAGTTGGACTAGATAACCTATCAATTCCCTTCCACAAAAGCATTTCTTATATTTTCTACCAATACTTGGAATTAGCAAAATCAATCAAAAAGAATTTATTATGTACCAGGCAATGTGAATACAAAGACAAAAGTGAGACAGTTCCTGCCCCGCCAAGGAGCATATATTCTATCAGGGTATATACAACCTTATAATGATCTCTAATTCTTCATGTGTATAACCTTTTCTCCTCCTTGGACTAGTTTAGTCCTTGGATGGGTGGGAGAGAAGGAATTCTGCCACCAGGTGGAGAGACCATGGGCAGGGAAATTAAATTAAGAGGCTATTGCAAGAGTCTGGGTGAGAGGTGATAGCCTGATCAACACCTGGCAGCTAGGTGGTGAAATGGCTTTGAATGCCAAACAGAGGATTTTGTATTTGATCCTAGAGGCAATAGGAAACTGCTGGGGTTTATTAAGTAAGAAGGAGACATGGTCAGATCTGTGCTTTAGGAAAATCATTTTGGGGCTGAATGGAAGATGGATTGGAGTGGGGAGAGACTTGAGGCAGGGCAGACCCACCCATCAGTGGACTAATACAATAGTTCAAGCATGAGGTGATGAGGGCCTACACCAGAGTAGTGGTAGTGTCAAAAGACAAAAGGTGGTGTATTCAAGAAGTGTTGCAAAGGTGAAATCAACAGATCTTGGCAACAGATTGGACAGAGGGGGGGGAGGAGAGGAGAGATAGTGAAAAGACAAAGATGACTCCTAGGTTTCAAGGGACTTGGAGAAGGCATTGCCCTCTACAATAATAAAGAAGTGGGAAGGGTGGGAAGGTTCCAGGGGAAAGATAAAGAGTTCTGTTTTGGATATATTTAGTTACTGGATGTCTACTAGAAATCTAGTTCGAAATGTCTGAAAGGCACTTGGAGAGGTGTGAAATTGGAGGGCAGTAGAGCGGTTGGGGCAGTATAGGTAGATTTGAGAATTATCAGTCTTAGAGATAGTAATTAAATTTAGTGGTGATGAGATCACCAAGTGAGATAGTATAGAGGGAGAGGAGAAGGAAGCCTAGGAAAGAACCCTGAGGGATATCTGCAGTTTAGAGGATGTAATGTGGAGGACAGAGGAGGCACAGTCAGATAGGCAGGAGGAGAACCAGAAGAGCCTAGTGTCCTGAAAGCCTAGAGACGAAAGAGTATTCAAGGAGGAAAGAATAATCAACAGTGTCAAAGGCTACAGAGAGGTCAAGAAATTGAGAAAAGGCCACTAAATTTGGCAATTAAGAGATCACCAGCAACTTTGGGAGAGAAATTTTGGTGGAATGTAAGTTGGAAGCTAAATTTTAAGGGCTTAGAGAATGAAAGGAGAGAAAGTGGAAATACCTATTGTAGACAGCTTTTTTGAAGAGTTTAGCTACAAAGAACAGAAGAAATATAGGATGATAGTTAGCAGGAATGGAAGGATTGAGTAGGGTTTTTTCAGGGCAAGCCACTTTACCTCTACTTCTGTTGCCTTAACTGTAAAAGGGAGAAAGGCATAAGCATTTATATAGTGCCTATTATGTGCTAACGTAGCATGCTAAGTACTTTACAAATATTATTTCATTTGATAGCACCTACCCCCCAGTGCTCTTATGAGGACAGAAAGAAATAGTATTTGTAAAGTGCTCTGAAAACCTTAAAGTGCTATATAAGTGCTAGGTATTATTATTTAAGAAAGATAATATAATACTAGGCTACATTAAGAAAAGCAATGTTCATTGACTAGAGAAATGCAAATCAAAATAACTCTCTATCACATCATCCCTTCAGACTGGCTAACATGACAAAACAGGAAAATGATAAATGCTGGAAAAGATGTAGGAAAATTGGAACACTAATGCATTGTTGGTGGAGTTGACCCAATCATTCTAGAGAGCAATTTGGAACTATGCCCAAAGGGCTATAAAAATGTGCATATCCAGCTATACCACTTCTAGGTCTGTATCCCAAAGAGACCATACAAATGGGAAAAGGACAAATACATATACAAAAATATTTATAGCAGCTCTTTTTGTGGCGGCAAAGAATTGGAAATTGAGGGGATGCCCATCAGTTAGGGAATGGGTAAAGAAGTTGTGGTATATGAATATAATGGAATACTATTATGCTATAAGAAATGATGAGCAGGCAGACTTGAGAAAAACCTAGAAAGACTTATATAAAAAGATGCTGAGTGAAGGGAGCAGAACCAGGAGAACATCATACACAGTAACAGCCACCATATGTGATGACTAACTTTAATAGACTCATCTCTCTTTAGCAATGCAAAGATCTAAGACAACTCCAAAGGACTCATGATAGAAAATGCTGTCCACATCCAAAAAAAGAACTATGGAGTCTGAATGCAGATCAAAATCTATTATTTGCTCTCTCTTTTTCTTTTTTTCATTTGTTTCTTCTTTCTCATGGTTTCTTCCATTGGTTCTAATTCTTTTTTACAACATGACTAATGTGAAAATAAGTTCAATATGAATGTATACGTAGAGCCTATATCATACTGCATGCCGTCCTAAAGTGGGGGGGGAAGGGAGAGAAGGGGAGAAAATTTGGAACTCAAAATCTTATGGAAGTGAACATTGAAAACTAAAAATAAAAAAAGAAAGGAAAAAAAAGAAAATGAAAAGCAGTATTCAAAATGAGGAAGGTGAGGGTCTTGCTGTCTTACTTTTGGAGTTCAGTGTTTAGCTCCAGGACTTAAATATTTAAGAAAGTTATTGACAAGACAGTAAGGAAACCAAATTTTAGCTCAAGAGAATTTTGGAGGGGGAAGAAGGCTCTATGATATAGTCTTCAAATATCTAAAGGGCTGTCACTTAGGAAAGGGATTAGAATGGTCTTGCCTGGATCCAGGTACTTTAACTAGGCGAGAAGTTACACGGAAGTAAAATTTTGGAAAACACAAAGAAAAATCTTCCTAATAATTAGATCTATCCAAAAACAGAATGGGATGCCCAAGAGGTAATGCTATTGAAAATGATCATCATCACAATATTGAACTCCCCATCAATGATCGTATTCAGAGGCTGGACGACTACTTGTCCAGGGTATTACAGAAAGAATTCCTACTACTGGGAGAGGTTGGATTAGTTGCCCTCTAAGGTCCCTTTTAACTATGAGATTCAGTGAAGATGAAATAAAAACAGATGTTTATGAAGTAACTCTGATAAGTAGTAGCAATTGTATTAGTAATTCTGCAGCTCTTCCTTCCACAGACAACCCCAAACAAATTCATCCTAAGACAGTCATATTTACTTCTAGGCATCAGCAGCAGAGACAAAACCTTTGAGACTGTCCTTCTTTTCCCTATTTCCTGGCTATTACTTTCCCGTAATAAATTTATTTTTCCTATACCTGTTGGAGAAGGAAGGTCATTTATGTTGACATTGAGAAGTTTTGGCCACACTTCACGGCGGATATCATCTGTCAGAAGCCCGCCTTCACTAATTGCCATGCGTCGAAGCGCAGCCACATCAGTAGGATCACTGCTCAGGGCTTGGTGAATCTCTGCAGCTTTCCTTTTCTTCTTGACATTATAGTCTACAGAAAGAAAAGAAAGAAGTATTTCTGAACTGAGCCAGGGCAAAGCTGGGACGGGAATAGTAAAAATAGGTGGCCGTGTGTGTGTGTGTGTGTGTGTGTGTGTGTGTGTGTGTGTGTGTGTGTCTGTGATGAAAGACTTAACATTATTTTTTACAAATGTATATGTTTTTAAGATCAAAAAATGCCACTCTCCATGGTATGTGCATAGATATACACAATATACAGATATGTGTGTGCATATATATTTGTATATATGCAGCCATATACGTACATATATATTTTCTAATAAGTGACTGTGTTACAGTAAGAGCTCAAAGCCTCTTTTAGACAGAATATACAGGGGGTTGAAATTTTCAGAAAGGGTATGTACACAATTTTCTAAACTCTATGAGGGTATACAAAAGTTATGATAAAACCTGACTCAGGTTCTATTATCATAAGGTCTCTGGCTTAACAATATTATTTGGTTTGAAATTTACATTGGTGTAGGACTCCCAGTGTGGAAACTCTACTAATCTACTAAACTGGCAACCAACTCCCCTTTAACTTATAATCTTAGAGAGACTTGGGCACTGAGAGGTTAGGTAATTTGTCTATGATTACAAAGCCAGTATATGTCAGATGGGACGTAAACATTGAACAATACAAAACGACAAAACAATAGACGTTACAAAGCAGTACAATGAATCAATGAATCTGGAAGGTACTTCAGGTCATCGAGTACAATGTCCTCATTTTACATTTACATTTATAATGCTTTACATTTTACAGTCCTGATAAAGGGCTTCCTCCATTTAGGAGAAATGAATTGAAGTGAGGTGTAGAGACAATAAACACAGTATATTTAAAGGAGGGAAAGATTACTATGGACTAGATTGATCTGGGAAGGCTCCACAGAAGATGTGGGATCTGAGGAATAAGGAGAATATCTTTACCTATAAAATAGGGAGGAGAAAGGAGGATGTTTTAGATGGGGGAAGAACATGAACAAAAGCAGTATGACATAATTGAAATGCTGACTCCAAAGTCAGAGGACCAGGGTTTAAATCCTGTCTCTGATATTTGTACCTTCTGATACCCACGTGACTGTAAGAAAGTCATTAATCCTCCCTGGGCCTTAGTTTCCTCATGTGTAAAATAAGGGGTGTCGGAATAGAAAGCTACTAATGTTAGTTCTAGCTCTAGATCCATGATCCTGTTCATATAAGCAAAAACATTCAAGCAGTCTGGTTTGACTCTGCAGTGTTTAAACTAAATCAATGAATATTTGAAGAGAACTTTGCTATGACACTGTAACTAATATGGGTGAATAAGGTCTTGAATTTGTAGCTAGAGAATATTTCTATGCTATATAACTTCCACTTTGTACTTAAACAATAGTTCAGCGCTCATGTAATGAAGCTGCTATATCATGAATGTGAATAAAAGCATGAGTGCTGCCTACTTACTATGTGCCAGTTTTGGCAGATGATAAACTAAGGCACACACTGGTTTGGTAATAGGTCATGATGTCAAAAGTAGAGGCGAAAAGATGACCTAGACACATGACTCCATTCTCTACCTTGCCCTACTTTTCATGATAACCTAATAGCCTTGAAAGCAGTGCCCTACTTCCTTCTGTCAGCATAGCACCTGACCAGTCAGATGTTTGATTAAAAAGTGATTCGTACTCCTAGTTCAGATGTCTATTAGGTTTTTTCCTAGGCTAGTTTGCTTGTAGAGCATGTACTAAAGAGGCCTAAGTCAAACAGAGTACGTTCTACATATTGATAAAGCCTTGGAATAACAGCTGTCCATCTATACAGCACTTTACACACAATATCTGATTTGATATGATATAACAGCAAAGATGAAATTAGCTACACTAACACGATCTACGACATATTCTATTTACTCAAAGAGAATGCTCTTCATTTTCCACAAATCAGAAAAGGTACCAACACTGACTGTAATAACAGCTTCTAACTGGTTATACTGAATACTGTTTGAAAAAGATGAGGCATTAGCTGGAAATCTTTTGTGTTAAGCTTTTTCTAAAGACAGGAAAAGAAATCTGCCCTCAATTCAAATTTATTTCCCTCCACCTTGTTAGTGTGACATAGCAGCACTGTATTAGATGGGAGAGGGGGTGGAAAGAGCTGTTGCTACATATCTGGAGGAAAAGAACACTGCTTGTAATCATGTGAATTTCCACAAATTTGGGCAACTGTTCTGCCAGAACATTAACCATCTCAAACAACTCTACAATTCTAAGAAGAAAAATAGCTCCCAACTGGATTCTATCTAGATTCTGTTTTGCCCCATCTTCTTAAAATGCTGCTATTCAACTCAAAAAACATTTATCAAGCACCTACTATGTACCTCATCATATCATGGAGATGATACTGGGTTCTCAAAGGCCAAAACAGTGAGGCACAAGTACTGGCAAGTTTTACCTGACTGAAAAAGCTTCCAATGTGGACCCAGCAATGGATTGTTTATGCTTTGAAGACTAAATCTAGCTAGACTAGGAAAGTCTCAATCAATCAACAAGCATTTATTAAGAACATAGTATGTGCCAGGCCCTGTGATAGGTCACTGGGGGTATAAATATAAAGAATGAAACAATCCCTACCTTCAAGTACTTTACATTCTATCAAGGGAAACAGGTGTGTGAGTATATGGGGATCAGAAAAAGTTTGCTGTAGAAGAAGGTGCTTGAGATTAATACTTGTAGGAAAAGCAGCAGTGTCTAAGGCTGAGGGGAGAAGGAAGAAGTATGCCTAGGCATGGGTAATGGCCAGGGCATAGACCCAAAGGTGAGAGATGCAGAGACCAGAGAGAAGGCCAGTGAGACTGGATCTTCAAGTGCTAACAGAGGGAATATGTATAATGAGGCTAAGAAGGCAGGCTGGGGCCAGGTTGTGAAGGGCTTTAAAAGCTAATGAAAAGCTTATATTTTATTCTAGAGGAAACAGTGCCATTGAAGTTTACTGAATAGGGAAGTAACATGGTCAGAAACATGCTTAAGGGAAATTACTGGCAACTGTGTGTTAATGGAGGCGTCCATTTTAGGGATGGGGGGGACAGCAAGCACAAAGGCATGGAGGTAGGAAAGGGCACAATGAGGTCAGAAAATAATAGTAGCTAGTAAGTATATTGCACCTTAAGGTTTGCAAAGTATTTTACATATGTTATTATGTGTGATACTTACAACAACCCAATAAGGTACGGTGTTATTATTATCCTCATTCTACAAAGGAGGAAACAGAAGTGACTTGTCCAGGCTCACACAGACATTAAATATCTGAGGCAGGATACACATGCAGGTCTTTCTGACTCCTTAGCATTCAATCTACTGAACTTCCTAAGAAAGCAGTGAGCAGTGGAGCTTGATGGGAAGTGGACCCATGAAGGGCAGTGTTGTGAAATAAGACAGGAAAAGAAAGTCGAAGCCAGGCTGTTAAAGCTTAAAATGCCAAACTATTTTACTCAGCAGGTAACAGGGAGTCACAGAAGGTTAAGTACTTTCCCCTTCAATTAAAATGGAATAATCTTAATTTAGTTGGATTTTTCCCCTTCCTGGAAAGAAACCTGGTCTAGCAGAGAAATACAAATGATAAATGAAGAGGTCATCTTCCATTTCTCACTGCTGGTAATATGCAAACTCAAACCTAAAATAAATGTTCTAGCATCTTCTGGCTTAAAAATTTCAAATTACTAGGCACTCTCCAGAGAGCAGTTAAACAGCTTACGTTGTTTGTAGCGTGCAGTTCTGGTCCCACTACTACCTCCTTTACAGGAAGATGACTGAATGTTTGGCAAAGAATCTACTATGTCAAGGAAGTAAACGTCACAGGGTGGACGGGGAAGACTTTACTTTGTGGCACCACTCCTCTCTTCTCTTACAAATATCTTACTGTTCATGACACACACACTGTGATCTTGCCTTAATAAGAGGAACAAAGCACTTTCAGGAATAGAAATGTTCAAAAAATGTACACACTTCTGAGGAAATATAAAAATGGCAAATGATATTGTAGAATTAGGAAAAAAGTTTTCATTATAATATAATTATAATTAATTATATATAATTCAAAATAGAAATGAGAAGATGGATATTCTTTAGATGCACAGGAGAAAATGAAATGCTTTGGCTTCCAACAATTTAATATTAAAATAAATTCTGCAGGTAGCCTTTAAGTTATAACACATGATTTTGAACTTCAGAATTTTATAACTTAGGTTTAGGATAAAAGCCTACAATTCACCTGGAGATTGTAAACATGTAATTTCAGGGTCCCAGGCTGCTTTTTTTTTTTTGTCCCAATGAGTATAGAAATGTGTAAACAAAAGCTCCGTGGTGGTCATCAGCATAAAAAATGATGGATTAGTTGGGTGACTGAATTAACAAAAGATACCACAACAACATGCAAAGCTTCCTCTGGTTATGAACAAATCTTCTGGTAATTCTCAGGAAAAGGGAATTCTATATGTACTATGCTTGTCCATTCTCTATTAAAATGATTATTCATATTGTGCCAATATCACAGTGCTTCTTAATATTCCTGGGATGAGGGTGCCTGCTTTCCAATCACTGCATTGAGCCACTCCCAACTTCGGATACAAAACAATCTAGAGTTCTATCTCCACCAAACAACAGGTGTTTCTAGAACCACCTGGCTGAGACAGCAGAATATTCTGGGAAAGAAAACAATGACTAACAATGCTCACTCAGTTACCCTTCCCTCTGGCAGAGATCAAGTTTTTTCCAAGTCACTAAATCATCAGCTGACCTAAAATCATCTTTGTTTTTTGCCCTTAAAGTCTATTTCTAGACACTTACATGTCCTAAGATTACCAAATGGATGAGTTCTTATGCAAGGGCACAAAATTCCATTGTGATTTTGGGGAGTATGCCTACATTCTACATTATAAAAAAATCTTATATTCTTTACTCAGAAATTAAGCTCAAGACACTATAGTCAACATTGTTCCTAACTAAAACAATGAAGTGG